TCAGGACTGGATAACACATCTACTGCTTTGCAGAAAATGTATTCAGTTCTTCCCACAGCGCTTGTCCACATCTCAGCATTACAAATAAAAACAATTTAAAAAAAAAGGAAATATCAGGTGACAGAACTTCCTCCATGTCACAAACTGGAACACCGCTCAAACACAATTTGTATTGCCTTTATATTTACGCTATTGTTCCAAAGCAATGTTTAACTTTTTGCATTTGTTGGTGTTATAAGCATGCTTGGTTTTTTTTTTTTACATTTTGGTAATTCATTTTCAAATATTGCTCCTACTGTGCTTAATCTGCAGAAGAGTTAGAAGCACACAGAGTTTGGATAATTCTGAACAATTACACTTTGACAAATGTGCAGATCTTTTTTTTTTTTTTCCTTTTCTCATTTTTTTTTTTTTTTTGATTAAACAAAACTACACAAAGCAATCGTTACTTCAGTCACACACTTATGGTGAAAAATGTTAGTCACGTTCCGCTCACGCAATTGCCAAGGACATCCTTTCAAAGCACAAAAATGTAAAATACTAGTCTAAGTAACAGCAACAATACTACAGGGCTGCTAATGGCAGAAGCCAAAAGGGTTTCTGGTAACCTTATCACTGCGACAAAAGAATAAAAGTCAATGTATTACTAATAACTGGATGCAGACGGTGGAGCAATATTGAGAGATGAAACAATCCAACTGACAATATGGCTGCATCCAGTTGGGCACATCTGTGGACAAGTATTGATGGAGGTTCTGTATGGAATCTGGATCTAAATTTGAACTGTTGACCAGCATCAGGTTTCTTGCACGCCACACAAAAAAACCTAACTGGATATGGCTACAACTCCACTTCTTACATTACCAATATCTTCCCTCCTTGTTTTCAAAAAACTTTCTCGCCAAGCACAAAATATGACTGTTAAAAAAAAGAAAAGAAAAAAAGGACAACTTATTACTGCAGTGAACACGGGTGTCAACCCCGCAATCTACAAAAACAGCAGTGTTCAGTTGCATACAAGCGCAGTGAGGACCGCCTGTTATTACTTGCTCTCAAACAAAAAAAATTCCGTTTTGGATTATCAACTATTCTAGCAATGCAAATAATCAGCTTCAAAGCTAAAACTGTACAGAGTCATCCAGCTGAGCTTTGGAAGTCCATTCTGAATCACAAAGTCCAGTCGCACACTGATCAGGTTGGCATTCTTGTAAAAAAAAAAAACTTTATTGTTCCAGAATGTGCACACTGGAAGCCATGCCTGCCCTTTTACGCATTTTACCCTAGAAACGGGTTTATACGTAGAGATGGGCCCATCTTAGTGTGCAGACTTTGTGATTCAGCTTCCACTGGGAGCATGGATGGGTTCCATTCTGCTTGGACCCCGGCACTCCATGTAAGCTCAATGAGCAGCGATTCTCTGTCTGCTTTCGAAAACCCATTGCCGTTAAATAGGTTTCTGAAGCCGGACCGTCATGCACAGTCAGCATTTGGAACCGATGTTTGTCAGCACTGAAAACTACAGAATGGAGGTTTCAAGCATGACAGCCCTTCCAATTCCAAGTAGCAACAGGGGAGGGGGCGAAGTCCACAGAATCTTCACTTTCATTTCATTACATTCAGTAGCTGAGTAGCTCTACTTCAAAAGCAAAGGCAAGAAAACAACCTACGTGTCACCACCCTTCTAGTAATATTTACTGCGATGCATTTCACTATGCAGAAGAGGGAAGGCGTTTAGTGGTCACGCTCAAAAGGAACTGTTGCCTGAACTTTAAAGAACCCTTGGCTAATACCATTAGCGAAAAACTAATTTATCCTCCATTAGCGGGCGCAAAGTATCATAGGATAGAAAAAAAACACAGTATTCTAAGTCTCTAAGCACTACTACTAATTAGTCTACTTTAGTTAGCTTTTTTTTCTTCTCTTTTTCTAATTTTTTTCCCAAATAAAGAATGGGCAAGTGTCATTTATGCTACTCTCCTGCATTCAGAAAGGCACGGATTGATTACAGTGTTACATATTTAGGTCCTCCTTCTTCGGGACTACAACCAAAGACTCCAGAAGCCTAAGGTGTCTGAATGGCAGAAGCAGCTGTAGATTCTACTCTGTTCAGATGGCAATTCTGGCTACCGCTAAGAAAAGAAAAGTTCAAACTTATATAAAGAGGGTATGCCATTTAGATGCACAAAGCAGTGAGTTTACAAACACAAGCACATCCATCCATATGACAACAAAATCTATTCTACCTATACTAGGCAAGGTTTAACAGCTTGTCAGTCAAAAAAAAATAAAAATGAATGTTTGACAAGATTGCTAATCTCAAATGCAAAACGAGACAAAAAAAAAAAAGAGAGAAAAATTAACAAACAAAAACACACCGAAGATCTGAAGTGGCAACTAAAGATGTTCAAAGACCCTAAGGGACACAGACAAATGGGGGTTTGTCTCAACACGCTAATCTTTCACAGCTAAAGATGCTTGCTCACAGCTGTGTACGAGAGAAAAGTTCCTCTCTGGAAATATCAGCCCACTCATGTCCTCCATCAGAAGCAGTGTCAGGACTGGAGCTGTCGCTTGAGTAGATCTTCTTCCTGAAGCTACTGCTTTTCATTCCACCGCTCAATTCGATGGCAA